CGCTCAGCTGTTATTAGGATATCTTTTGATGACTTTTGTACTTGATGACAGTATTACAATAAAATTTCGTTGATTGATTGAGTAATGTAAAACTTAAATAAATAAAATAAAAAAGTGAAAAACTGGGAAAAAAATACTGTACACACTGTCACGAATTGCTATTTCCGTTTTCCTTTTCATCCGGCCCATACTTCTACCAAATGGCCCATAACTTTACAAAGTTATGGGCCATTTGTCTAATTTGCCTTCCCAATCCCTGCATTGTACATCTAAACGAAATGTTTCCAGGGAAGCCGTTTGCGGGTTCAAATGGGACGTACATGTAGTAGAAATTTTGATGATGGAACGATAAGACAAGGTATTTTGAACGCTAGGGATCTATGAAAAGGAAGGTTTTGTATATCCGCACAATAATACGTTAGTTCGCAAAAGTAGAAAGCGGTTTCTGTACTCTTTAAATGTAAGACCATTAAGAAAAATCGAGGACTACATGACCAGTTAAAACCGCCATTCTATTAGGGACAATTGTACCTCTTGGATAGATTTTTAATTGAGATGTATTGTTTGTAAATAAAAATACTTCTAAGAAAGAATTCGAGCGAGATTTTGAATCCAAGTTCTCGCCCTGCAGCCAGACGATCAGAAAAAATTCTTGGTCCTAGCTTTGCGTGAACAAAGATGTGGAAGTCTGGGGAGAGGTCACGCGGCGCTCTTAGGATGATCAGGGTGATGTTTCCGTTAACGACTGAAAATCAGGCAGCCATGAGTGAACTCTTTTCCTCAAGTCCGCCCTCCTGACTTCCTTTTCTCGTTCTGATCTCAACATTGGTATGTACTTTTTCCAGTAGATCATCGCGAGTTTCTTCAATCGCCTATAAATGTAACCGAAACATCTACTCAAAACAAAGACATTGCCACTGGCGCTTGAGGAAAGCGCGGGAAAACAATCCTACGCTGCCACAAGCGCCAAGAAAAACGGCGGGAAGGCATCGATCTGTTTCCACGCACGTTAAAAAATACAACACAGTGATCAACAAATACCAAACTGAAAAAGGACACAAAACTAATCAAAAATTCTATCCGACACCAATGAAAGACATTCTATGTGCTTTTACCATTCATTGTGTTCCTCGGCTGCCCTCTCCTTTTCCCATAACAGGATCTGTTGCTCGGTAACGTAATCCTGCCAGAGTCTGAAGTATTTTTTCACAAGGTACGAGGAACAATAATCTTCGGCCACCAACTGCAGTCTGACAGCATGCTGGCCAAACTGCAACATACACAACAGTAATTTTGTTGGATTTCTGACCAAAGTGTCCAACGATAATAGAATGTAATTCAAACTAATCAGTCGAACCCAGAGTTTTAACTAAGAAAAAAAAGAGCACGATACTCGAGTCCAAAAAAGATAGTAGTCACATTTCGCCGGTTACACATATCTCGCTTGCTTGTTCAACCACAACCAAGGTTACCACATCAGCCAATCAGAAAAAAAAATAACCATCGAGAATTCAAAGTAAAATCAAGCCAACTTCCTGGAACGGGAAAATCTCGAGTGAAGTCTTGCGAGCAGGCCTTCATTAATAGTACTCTGCGACGCGCGTTTCTCCGCCCGCGGGAAGTTTTTAGAAGTGCCCGGTAGAGGTTTGCCGAGTGTCTTGTATTAATGTATTAATTATCAGTGCTTCTCCCTTGAACTCCCAAGATCTAATTGATAATTCTCCCCTTTAACTGCTACACATTTCCTTGGAAATTAGTTATGAGAATTTGGTGTTTTATCAAGAAAAGAACTCCTACCCAATGAGTTTGAGTATTCTCATTACCTGTATGCTGGATGATGTGTGGATATCAAAGGGAGAAGTTACGCGTTTATCACTTCTGGGAGTTAAAGGGTTAACCCCTTGCAGATTTCTCGCCCGCTGGCCTTGCTCAAGGCTTCATACTTTCCCTCGTGCGGAGAAACGCTCGTCCCGAAGCGCTAATAATGAGCGTCTTCCCGCACGCTATCTAGAGTAACCTGGTTGTGATTGGGGTTGTCGTTTTCTGACCTTTCTCCACTGTCTCCACATTCGTCGCAACAAAATATTTTGGTGCAACGCTTCTGATGCCTCAAGTCTATCTTCATTCGCTCTTCTTGTGAAATCCAGCCACGGATGGAAACATCTTGTAAGCAACAATCTATTATGATGTAATACTGCACGTGACATATTTTCCCGCGTCGTCTCCACTAGATGTCTCCACGGTGACAAGCCGTACTTTTTCAGGAGGACACAAGCGTAATGCTGGGTTGCTAGGGAAATCTGCTGTCGGTTTTGTTCTAACTGCCGTTGTTTCTCGAGCTCTCGCTGTGACAAAGGAACAATAGAACTTTGTATATCGCAACTCGATGTTCAAATAACAAATTCACGTACAAAAGCGTTTAGGCTATCCTTTACAAAGCCCGAAACTCCCGCAGTGCATCAAGGATGATGATCATCGGCTGATTCGTGTTGGGAGAAAATAGATATTGAATAGATAACGAGTTTCTCACCTCTCTAGCGATGCGTTTCTCTTCTCTTCTTTTTTGTAACGCTTCTTGTTTCTCCGCTAACAATTCTGCTTCTTTACGCTCTTGTTCCTTTTTGAGAAATTCCTGCCATTATGGTAATACTATGTGTAAGCATGAAAAAGCTGAAAAAGGTTTGACAATGTTATGTGTGACACAATCTTTCACGCATGGTAAAATAAGTCACACTGGAGGAAGAAACAATAAAACCTGGTGTTTGTGGGCTCAAACGATTCTTGTCATATGCATGACCAATGGAACCATAAGTTTTTCTTACAGGAACTACCTTAAATTTTTGAGATTTTTTATCGTTACCCAGTGTTCATGACGGCAATAAAATCAAGCAAAGCGACATGTTGTCAACAGAACACGCGGAGAGACTTGTGGTAAAGACCCTTTGCAGTGACTTGCCATGTGCGTCGATCTTACCCTTAGCACTTCAATCTCGGTATACATAGTCTCCAAACTGTTCTCGATAATTTATTATGGTATTGACAAGAATAATCTGTGAAACAATGAAGAGTTGTTATAGTTCGTGATCATCCCCTTCATTCTCGCGACTTGAATGTTTCAGGATTTCAGTAGTGATGTTGTAGAAATTAAATGCTCTTCACTCTTGAATTTTACGGTTAAAAGCAGAAATGCGCACAATTCAGAGTTTATTAAAGTGTTCACGTACCAGTCTCTCCTCTTCCGCCTTTCTCTTTTTTTCGTCCAAAGCTTTCTTTCGCTCCTGGCGTTTCTGAGCACGTTCCTCCATGGCTTGAAAGGAAGCCAAGTTAAGTTAGTATTGGTCGTTGCCTAGATAGAATCTTGTTGCAAAATCATTATCCAAACTTTGTCGAGAAAACCACAATCAACATGATAATATTTTTTGATGCATTACCATCAAAATATGACTTTTACGTTGCAATAATAAGAAGGAAAGAATTTAGGATTAAAAAGATGAGAAAATAAAGAAATAAACGAGAATTCTTTTTGCTGAGGAGGAAGTGTTTGAAATTGTTATTGCAAATGAGCCGTGGTTGAGGTGAATTTTGTCGACGAGTACATACCAAACGGGTTGAGAAAGCTTTCCACGCTGGTTTCTTCGCTCCCGGCAAGAAGCGAAACTAGGGCAGAATAATCAGTCATCGGTTGCCAGAAAAGTTCATGTTGCCATAACATGATGCAAAATATGACTCACGTCTACGAGATTTACTGTACAACTTACCCAGATGTAACGGTTTTGTGGTTGGCTTCTGTGATTTGACAACGGCTTCTCGTGAAGTGTACTTACTAGGTACAGAGGATGTACCATTGTCCAACGAAGCACTACTGGCTGATCGCCCAGTTAAAACATGCTCTCTAGATTCCGCCTCTTGTGAATCAAGTCTTTCATCAGATTTACTCTTTGAAAAACCTGGGTTAGTTTTCTTGTCTTCACTTTTCGCTTTTTCTCTATTTTTGGTTGTAGAATAAAGTGTTTCAATGTTTTCCACTTCACTGTAACTGCGTTGTCGATTGGATTTACTCCTAGCTTCTCTGCCTGTCTGGAATTCTTTCTTGGATTGCTCCTTTCTCTGTTGCTCGCTCCAAGCTGGTTTAATTATTGGTGGTTTGTCACTAACTTTAGTCCTTCTTAAGGAAATCTCCTCTGGATCTATTACATTTGTCAGGGAATGTTTATGGTTTACCGTCCTTGCAGGTTGTGAGAAAATTTCGTCCTAAGAAGTACAAACAACAATCATAATTTTAATAACCCCATTTTTAATGCACCATTCCTCGAGTCGTTCATTTAACAAATAGATTCAATGTTGCTGTGCGTCTGTTTAGCAATAGATCACAGATGACGTCAAAATGTGGTACGAACGAAAACCTGGCAAAAGGGACCAGTCGAGTGTGTCACTGATGTTCTTACCACATCAACCTGCATTACAGGTTTAGGTGTGAAGTTTCGGCTTAGAACAAATCGTGCTTCGTGGTTGTGGTTTAGCGAAGAAATGTTACTAAAAACAACCTCCGTGCTTCGCAAAACACAGCTTATTTTCCAGCGGCGCTTAAATCTCCAAGCCTTACCAGTTTTCTCGCAGTGCTTGAGCTCTGCACATCCTTATCATCTTCAATGTCTTGAAGTTCTAACCCCGTGTTAGTATTTTCCCCCCGCTCACTCCACAATCTGCCAGTAGCTGCTGCTTGCAGTAACGCCGCCATCTTTTGTGTCTTTTTTTCGTGTTCTTCTTGAAGCTGTCTTCTTTCTTGTTCTCTTTTCACCCACTGTTGCCACGACCGAAGGCAGCGCAGCAACAAATGACGACGATGGAATTTCAAAGACAATTGCTCCTTTCTGAAACATCAAGAAATTTTTGGCTAAGAAATTTTATAAGGTGAGGAGTTTTCAGTTTGGTAAAATTAACATAGAGAGATTCTTCAAATTAGACTTGAACTGTTTCTCCGTTTGCGACCAGTCCTTGAGATTAGAGAAGGATTATTTGGAAAGAATCGGCAAGCAAACGCAAATTACATATACTGTACCTGTGCTTTTCTTTCATCTCCATGGTGATGGTTTGAGCCTCCTTATCAGATCTTATGTGATTGACGTAGGCCAACCATGCATTCCAAGCTCTTAGTTTACAACGCCAGTCAGACATAGCTTTTGCTTTACCAAGTTTGATCCTCTGTGATGCAACAACTGAATACCAAGCTGAGAAGTGTCTCTGGAGAATCTGATATCAAGTAAAAGAAAAAATAATGAGACTGATTTGGTATTTAGTGCATATTCAACCACTATAATGTAATTTCACCAAATAACGCAGAGACAACTAAAAATACCCGAGACCTTAATACATTGCAGTTTACCAATTTGACCGGTTTGCAGGAAAGAGACTAGTTTCACCTTTAGACAAACAGAGATCGAATACGAATGGAAAACACGTATAACGGAGAGATAATGGTCAAACTGGACGTTAAAACGCTCGAAAACTACTCCTTTACAAACATGTAAATCCCTTGCCTCTCTGTGCTGTGTACGTCAATAGCGAGCCTGTATAACAATCCTTTCCGATCAAATTGACCACATTTTACTTGCTGTCTGTGCTATCTATAAAATTATATTGCCAGGTTACACTCCTTTCCGTCTCCTTCAAACCACGCGGGAAAAACGTGCAAGGAGAGAGCGCCGCGCGAGAGCCGCGCGAGAGCACAATTTTGTTCCTATTTGCTCTATACATTTGCAAGACTCCTGCTGTTCTCACCCGTATTCCTTTGAGCGAAAAGGAAACGGAAAAGAACGCTCCGCAGGCGAGACGTTACCACACGCAGTCTAGCAATAAAAACATAAGACAGGGTGACATCTGATAAAGGAGAAAAGTTTCTACAGAAAAATGCGTTGCTGCGTCAGTGAGGGTATTAAAAGATAATGATCAACTGAGTTGATATGTAAATTGGCCACCGTAAAGAGTTTATAAAGCTGATGTATTAGCGTTAGCCCTTTGTTAGACGTTGGAAACTTCAGTTAGAATAACACTAAGTAAAATTACAGACTCTAAGAAAAAAATCTTTCAACAATTAACATAATTTGAGTATACCCTAAGACTGTTGCTGGCCTCTTTTGCTGCCCTCTTCTCCATCTGTTCCAACAACATTCTCCTCATCTCTTCTTTATCTTCTGCGTCCCTCCTCAGCTGCTCTTCCTTCTTCCTCTGCTCTTCCTCGAGATATTGCCGAGCCAGCAACTCCGCTTCCTTCTCTTTGCGCCGCTCACTATGAAGCAATAACAACAACATCAAGCAGACAAGTGATCAGAATAAAGAAAAATATGAAGTGGGGATTATCACTTGATCCAATACCAAATTCTTCAAACTAACATCACAGGAATTGTAAGGCAGGCAGTAAGGAGAATTATTAACAAGATCCTGGGAGTGAAAGGGTTAAATGTACTCACTTGTGGACTAAGCAGTAAAACACTTTGTTGTCCTGATCTGAAATAAATTTTAACCTTAGACCGCTGGGATTTTTCATAAGACTGGCTACTCAAACAAAGTTTTCTATAGACCCTTAAAATATTGCTAATTTGAAAAATTGCTGACATAAACTATTAAAAAATCATTCACAACAGGATCACATGCAATTTGTGGCAATGGTCATTACCACAAACAAGCCTTCACCATGGCTTGATGACAGCGTATCAGATAAATATAGCGATCAGATAACACCACTTAAACAACATCTGCTTGTGGTTGTACAGATATTGTTACAGATAATTTTAATCAAAGCACTTCAAACCAGCTCACTTGTCTAGTTTTTCCTTGGTAGCCTTCTTCTCCTCTTCCATAGCTCTGCGGATCTTGGTCATTTCTTTTTGTATTTGATCCTCTTCTCTTTTGAGTTTTGCTTGTTGCTCTCTTTCTTCCCTGAGCAAATGTTGACGAGCTTCTGCTTCTGCTTGCTTACGAGCTGCATTTTCTCTTCGTTTCTTTTCTATATCCTTCTGTCTTGCTTGACTTTTCTCTTTCACCTAATACAATGGTAGAATTATGTTTGTGTTTAAGCTCTCAGGAGTGGAGTTGTTCATAATGCTCTTTTTTAATTGACAGGTTTCATTAACAAATAAACATGTATCTCCTGTGTCTTGAATTTTTGCTCTGGATAAAATACATCAAAACAAGAGTGACTGTGACTTTTCTTTCTGTTGTATCATAACATAACCTAAATTCTTAGGAGTTACAACAATTGCCATTGAAAAAAAAAAAAAAAA